AAATATTTGGAATAGGGCCAAATCCCATAACAAAAACACATTGATAAACGATTACGCATAATGCTGAGGTGATAGCATGTAAATCAGTGCTCATATTCATAATATTAGCAACAAGCATAATAGCTAGGGATAATAGCAGAATGGGTATCGTGCCAAGGAGAATATGCCTGCATGCATGAAGCGAGGGAGAAAAATTACCATTTTGTACTTTCTTTAACTTTTTAATTAAATAATGACAATAAGTAGTACTCTCTCCGTTTCACAATGTAAGTCATTTTAGCATTTCCCACATTCATATTGATGTTAATGAATGTCTAGATGGGAAATGCTAGAATAACTTACATTGTGAAACGGAGAAAGTAATTATAAATATTAGAATACTAAATTTCTTCCTTTCGTATCTACGAACGGCACAGCAACACCAATACAAGGAATCATCACTAAGGTTGCGATGGCACTTAAAAGTATAGATGTAGAAGAACTAATTAAGATCAAACTTCGAGAAAAAACCTCCAACACCAACTTGCTCAAGTATTTCAGGAGTATAGTAGAGGATGCCATTTATGCCTGCAAACTGCATAAAAAATGATGAGGTAAGATCATTTCATAACGGGTTTGTCTTTGGATATTATGCATGATCAACTTATTTGATGTAACAAAAATGAAAAAAAAAGAGTTATCAATGATGGCTCTCTTAGAGAGTTGTTACAAATAATTATATCTGTGACGGGTGCTTAAATCTACCGTAAGAGATATATTAGGATCAAGAGCCATCACAGTCTCACAGATGATTGTCTATCTATGACAGCTCTTCATTTGAAACGATTTCCCACGGCTCTTGCGGTGTGGACGTGATTGCCATCCACGTGCGGCAACCTTTGTTTTGTCCAACGACAGTATTTGTTTCCAGAAAAAAAGTTCATTTTACATGCCTCATATATAGACACATTTTAATTCGTATTCTTCAACCGCAAAATCAAATATAGAGAATTCCTCAATTGTTAAAACCGGATTCAATCTGTTCAATATTATGCCGCGTAATATTTTCACGTCTGCATTTATAAACATGTATATTTTCATAATTCCCCCCACAAACATGTATATAAATATAAATTTAGAAAATGTATATTCACTTTTTTTTCACCCAAATGGTAAGATTGCCTCTGTTCTAATGCAAAATATAAATATCCATGACAAGATTACCTTTGTTCTCAACTCCAGTAGTCCAGCTTTAACCATGATCTAAGTGTAGATAATGTAAATCAAGATTTTGCAAAAGAACAAAAAAGAGCAAGCTGTATATACAGATTTGTGATGCTTCTCCAGTTATTCTACTGCGCCTCCTCGCGAAGAAACAAAAACCTTGGTCAGTAGAGGCAAAAGTCCTAATCAAGTAGAAGTAGTACACAATTTCTTGCTTTATAATGTTTTTGCAAGGCTATGTGGTCTCCAATCTGAACATTTTTAGATGAAAACTTTAGTACCACGTAAGCCAAAACTGCTTTCAATACACTGATTTTAAATGATAAGAGATACGTTATACCCGGTTTTGCTATTAAAGGGAGGAACTCGATCTTTCCTATATCGATGCGCTTCGTCAGCCCAGCGGCCACGCGCGGGCCGGCCCGTACGTTCGCTCCCCTGGTGGCACGGCCCACGCGCGTGGTTGCCTGGTTGGGCCGAAATGGTGTGACAAGCAAAGCGCGAACCACTTTCCTGACATTTTCCCCATCCGTCGACTTGGATCAATCCGTGAATTGCGAAATCGTCTCCAGCGATCTAATTAAAATACGGAGTATTACTGTATACTTTTGCAGCATTGTACAGTGAATCTATCTATTCTCTAGTACATGATAAAGTTTCGTGTAAAGAAAAAAAAAGAGAGAAGCTAACAGTACTTTAATTACGGCCGGCTGGTTCCGTAAGCGCGAAGCACAAACCTGACGGATAAAATTTATACTCTCTGTGATAGCAAATGGAATTTGACATTATAACATACTCTTCAGTTCTGCACGTACACACCACGTACGATCTAACCCTATATATAATTACGTACGTAACCACCCTGTCCAGCTAGCAACTCTCATTGATCTCGAAACTAATTAGGCAGCAGCTAGCTCTCTCATCCGATCTTGCTGTAGTTGTAATCTTGGTATCAGTAGAATGCAACAGCGCCTCCGCGACGGTACGAACAATTCCGATGGGGAGGATAGAGGAAGCAGATCCGCCAGCTACGGATCAACAAGCGGAGCTACAGCTAAATTAAGCGATGAAGAGAGATAGAGAGAAGACGCGCCGGGGGGGGGGGGGGGGGGGGGAGGATGAAGAGAGGATGATTTATGTGGGCCCACATGTCAGTGGGTCCCACCCATATTTTTGGTGAATGATAAATGGGTCCCACACATATTTTTTTATTTCTAATGCCACCTAAGTGCCACGTCAATGCCATGTGCAAAGAAGACCGAGTCAATATTGTCACGTAGGCGTCACGTTAGCAAAACCACCCTTCAAAACTGTTGAGGGAGTCAAATTGCACCGATTTTAAGAGTTGGGGGTCTAGATATCCGGTTTTGTGGTTTAGGGTCACGGATTAGATTTCGATTACTTTTTCAGGGTTACAAAGTGAACTTATTCCGGATCTTAATCATCAAACCACTAAAACTGGGCCGCAGGAAGGCGACGTACGCATAATAGTCCAGTATATTCTCATATGGGCCATGCGGCCCGTATAGTTGGGCTGAAAAGGCAAGGAACGTCCGGCCCGTTAAAGTTGGGCTGAAACAATGTCAGGCCGTCGGGCGTATACATGTGAAGCTGATCTCTGCCCCTCTCATGGTCAACGTAGACAGTATACAAATACAGGCTGAGCTTGATTAAATTAAGTCAAGGTCAGCAGCATCCACACTGGCCCATGTTCTATCCTACCAATGCATTCCAATTTTCCATTGGGATCGATTGGCAAAGTCGTAGACGTCGTCTCCAGTGATCGATCGATCCAGCACACATCTGCAAGGCGCTACACGCTAGCACCAGTCTAGAGTGCAAAGTCGGAGAAAACATAATTAATGCGCCGGAAGGCCTCTCTATATAATTACCACTCGATCGAGCTAGCTTGCAGCTTAATTTAATTTTATCCCTAATCATCAACCAATTAGACGAAGAAGATCGAAGAGATCATACAAATGGCTAGCGAGCAACATCTTCTCGTGCCCAACGCGACGTCCAATGCTGCTGCTGCTTCGGCTGCAGGCATTGTCGTGTTCGTGCTAGCGATTGTGGTCATTCTCCTTTGTGGATACGCCGACCGCAAGAACAGATCCCGGAGGTCCACCTGTTGTTGTTGCTGGGGCGCCGGCGGGGATGGAGGTGGTGATGGCGGCGGTGGCGGCGGCGGCGGCGATGACGGTGGCGATGGTGGCGGCGCAGACGGTTGCGGGGGCGGCGCAGACGGCGGTGGAGGCGCAGACGGAGGAGGAGGTGGAGAGTAGACGGAGGTTAATTGACGGATCCAGTTGATCAAGACAAGATTCGTGGTATGGATTATTCATTATGCATGGCACTACTATGGCAGTGATAGTGAGTAATAACAGTACAGTTTAATTGACTCACGATCAAATTCGCCTCTTCCATTTTCATCTTGGCTTAAGCAGCTTACAGTATCTCTTTTACGTAATTTCTAGTTGAAAAACAATGATTATTTACGGCGCTAAGCTCCTACGAGCATGCAATTGTTGTACGCCAACATATTTTTTTTTCAAGTTAATTTGTTTGTATCTAGTGATCAGAATAGACTTTCGCGCTAAGTCTTCCAAAGAAATTTTACAGTTTAAGAGGTACAAAGAGGTATCCAGCAGCAATGTCCAGACAATTGTTATGCCGTAGACGATGGATGCAATAGCGCATAGTCTTGCTACGCTGGTCCTCCTCTCCTGCGTGCTGCAAACAGCTAGCATGCAAATACCCAAGGAGCATCTTCATATTAAAGATTTGGTTGTTAAGCTCTTATCTGACTATCAGGGACAGACCAGGAATATTTTACTGAAACTCCACGTATCATCTCGCTGTAAAAAGATCAGCAAGCAACAAGATGATACTTCATTTTCATCTCGTTCGGTTCGTCTGAAAAACAATGGTGAAACTCCCAAGCATTGCTGTGTCTTCTTCTCTTTCTGAATCATCGGTTTCTTAATCGGCTTCAGGAATTAAGTCTCCTTTGCAGAGCGATGTGAAGCACGGTTTCTAAATCTGAAATTCAGAATTGCAGGCGCTGGACGGATGGAGTGCGGCCATATGGAGCTCGATGAGGCAGGAGAAGGGAGAAGACGCAGCCAAGATCTCGGCAGAGCTACGATGAGGCGCAGACGCGCAGTGGTGGATTTCCGGCTGCGAATGGGGGTCGCGCGGGGTTCAAAACTCCGAACCCCCATGGGTCTCTACCAGCCGCTCGATCGAACTGTACGGCTCAGATTAATTGATCAGCTGCTCCTCGCGAACTGTCAGCGGCTGGTAAATTGGACAGAGCGGTGATTTTGGGTGTTCGAGGGGGTCGGAGTCTAAAACTCCCAACCCCCAGGATCTCTATCAGCCGTTCGATCAGGCTGTGTGGCTCAGATTTAATGGATCACCTGCTATTACAGATTCCTTCAGTTGCGGACGTGATTGCCATGGGTTATTTGGGCTGGGCCGCATGGCACGGCCTCGCCGTTCTGGGACTAGCCTCCTCGGTGAATCATCTGTTGGCGTGGTCGGTGGCGCCGGTGCGTTTCGCCGTAATGGCACAGAAAGCTCGCCGCCGGTCAAGATGAGCTCGACCCAGTTTCTGTGCAACTTCTGTGAACAGACATTTGATGATCTGATCTGGGGGGTTGAATGAAAAGTCGTATAGCTGCCAGATGTACTTATTGACTATTCCACTGTTTATATATAGTAGCAAACTCGTCAGCAATTCAGGCTGATATGATCTCATTTCACACGCTTACGACATTTCCTCAAGGAAGAGTCTGTACAACTCCTCCAATTCCTCTCTACGACTCAGAAAACCGCGTTGAATCTTACAATGTCTCTCTCTCTCCAATTCTGCACGTAACACAAGAGCTTGTGCTGTACTTAACAATGGTGAGAGTACGTTAATTATCTGCAGCTGCAAGAAGAAAAGGTTATTAGCCGATTATTCCTGCTCACGTAGCAATGGTGAGAGCGTTAGCTGTTACTGCGGGCAATGGCTTCGCCGCCGTGCCTACTACTGCTCCAGCCGCCGGCTGGGTCCTCGTCGCCTTCGGCTTCGCCGCGGCCGTAGCCGTCGTGGCGATCGCCGTGTTCGGCTGTGCCGATCGACCTAAACAGAAACCAAAAAGGAAGAAGGACAAGCGCCGCCGCCGCCGGGACGATGACGGCGGCGGTGACGACGGTCCAGACGGGGGCGATGGTGGTGGTGACGGCGGCGGGCACCACGAGCACGGCGGAGATCATGGTGGAGGCTGGCACCACCATGGTGGAGACCATGGCGGCGGTGGGCACCACTTCTCCGGTGACCATGGGGGCGGTGGCGGTTGTGGCGGCGGCGGTGGCTGCGGCGGCGGAGGTGGGTGTTAGTAGCTATAGTTGTGTACAGGTGGAGATAAAGAGTTTAAATACGAATTGTACTGATAAAAGGGAGTCCTAAAGATAAGTATATTCTAACTTGTATCTACATCATATATTCATATGCACTTTCTCTATATATACCTATCATTAGAGTACACCGAAGGTCCCTCAACTTGTCATCGAGTTACAAAATCGTCCCCAACCACAAAACCAGGGATATGACATCCCTCAGCTTATAAAACCATTCACTTTAGGTCCTTAGGTGGTTTTGACTCCGGTTTTATCTGACATAACGGCTGAATCAGCGTGGGACCCAAGTAGACTCTACATGTCAGGGTGACCACATCACCACCCTCTCTCTTTTTTCCCTCTTCTCTCCCTTCCTCTCTCATTTTCCCCCTAGGCGTTGATGGCGGCGGCGTCCTCGACGCGGCAGGGAGGAGGGCCAGCGTGGTTGGCGGCTGGCAGGGGAGGAGCGCAGTGGACAGGATAGCCGATGCGACGGGTGGCGCCGCCGATGGCTACCGTTGCACGGATCGGTTGTCTGCCTACCCTCCTTCTCCTTCTCTGCGTGCCGTGCGGCGCCATTGCCGTGGCCGTAGTAGCTATAGTTGTGTACAGGTGGAGATAAAGAGTTTAAATACGAATTGTACTGATAAAAGGGAGTCCTAAAGATAAGTATATTCTAACTTGTATCTACCTCATATGTACTCTCTCTATATATACCTATCATTACAGTGTCAATACAACATAATACATTAGATTATTTAGGGTTTCTCCCATATCTAATATTTTCTTCTGACCTGCACGCTCACTTAAAACTTGGGATATATAGGTGGCATACATCACGACATGACCATTAGTCTGTACTTTGTGTGCGGCAGCTCATTTATTTTTGTTAGGGTGAATAGCCAATCCATGAAGTTTCAGGATTAGTTTAGTGCTTGACGTTTCAATAATTTTTTTTAATAATAGAATAGTTAACATCCCGGTCTTTACTCAACAGAGTTACAACCAATTATTACAATCTAACACTCGAACAAAAAGTGTAGTTCAAATAGAATTAAACACACCCAAACATTATAAAAGTGATAAGACCAAGATAAGAAACACACAAACAAATGTTTAAAATTTATCATCTAGCATAACATTAGTCCTTTAAACAAAAAAAAAACGTCACGTGGGTATGCCATTTCATCCTCACATGCAAGAACAATAATCAAATGACCATTCTACCCTTATAAATACCATAATATAGAAAAATAATCAACCTAGACACTCATTATAAAAATATTGTTGGACTGGCCTGATATTCATTTCATTCTTTTTCTTTATTATGCGGCGGTCGTCTGCCTGCCCTCCTCCTCCCCCTCTACGTGCCGTGCGGCGCCATTGCTGTGGTCACACGTCGTCGTCGGGGTGAGGCGGTGATGCACGGTGGCACAGGCGGAGCGGCGGATTGGAGGGCCGGCGACGGGGAAGAGGGTCGGCACGGCCAACGGGAAAGGAGCAGCGGAGAGGAGATCGACTGGCCGGCTCCCTACCCACCGCGGTCGGCAGCTGGCAAGGGAGGAGCGCGGTGGAGAGGAGGGCCGAGGGATGATACGGTGGCGGTAGCGAAGTCACCGATGCGCGCGGGGAAGGGCGACGGAGAGGAGATCGGCCAGCCGGTTCCCCACCCGGCGCAATGGCCTGCTCCTGCATCGTTGCCACCGCCGCCGGACCTTCTCTCCCTCCTCACCCCGCCGGCCTCCTCTCTTCTCCAGCATCGTCGCTGTCACCACTGTCGTCGACGCCCTCCTCTCCCGCCTAGCCCCGCCAACCTCCTCCCCACCCGACGGCCAACCTACGCAGAGAGGTCGGAGAGAGAGAGAGAGAGAGGAGGATAGGAGAGAAGAGGGGAAAAAAAGATTGGGTGGTGACGTGGTCACCCTAATATGTGGGACCCACGTGGATCCTTACGCTAACTCAGCCGCCACGTCGGACAAACCGGGGTCAAAACCACCTAAGGATCTAAAGTAAATGGTTTTGAAAGTTGAAGGATATCATATATCTGGCTTTGCGGTTGGGGAACGATTTTTTAACTCGATGACAAGTTGAGAGACATTCGGTGCAATTTTTTTCAAACATATCGCCGTCTCATTTGGTGGGCTTTATGTGATGGAGTAGGCCGATAGAGTGGGCCTATTTCGGCCCATATATCGAGGAAAAACTTGCCAGGCCGTGGATCCCCCTGGGTCATTTGGCCTGGGCCTCATCGCGATGACTCACCGTCCAATCTCCTCGGTGAATTATCATCTGTGGGCGTGGTCGGTGGCGGGTGAGTTTCGGCGTAATCACACGGATAGCTCGCCGCCGGCGGCGATAACTGTGCCCATGGGTCAAGATGAGCCAGTTTCTGTGCAACTTCTGAACGCGTATGCAGCCTCAGACCGATCCAATTTTTTTTAACAAACTTCCAACTTTTCCATCACATCGAAACTTTCTTACATACACAAATTTTCAATTTTTTCATCACATCGTTCCAATTTCAACCAAACTTTCAATTTTAATGTGAACTAAACACACTCTGAATTAGAAGTCGTCTAGCTGCGGACTTTCCGTTTTTATCATCGCAAACTCTTCGTCAACATTGAAGGCTTGACCTTAGCTCATTTCACACTTTTTTGACGATATCCTCTGGGGCACTACTGATCGAACACAATTTCTCAGCAAAGTTTGGAAAATCCATTCGCTATCCTTTTAGAAACAACGCGTCGAGACTTCATAAGATGCGTGCTTAATTTTTCCTGCACCTAATTAACAGAAGCACTTTAAGCTTGTGTGCTACTTATCCATCTTCCATTCTCGCTTGCTGCTGCTGCTGCAAGAACACAGTGCTAGCTAGCTAGACACTTCTTGCTCGGTAACAATGGTGAGGGCGTTAGCTGTTACTGCGGGCAATGGCTTCGGCGCCGTCCCTACTGCTCCTGCTGCCGGTTGGATCCTCATCGGCTTCGGCTTTGCCGCGGCCTTAGCCGTCGTGGCGATCGCGGTGTTCGGCTGTGCCGACGGGCCTAAAGACAGCCCAAGAAGGAAGAAAGATAAGCGCCGCCGCCGCAGGGAAGACGGGGATGGTGGCGGCGGCGACGGAGGCGATGGTGGTGGCGACGGGCCGGACGGCGGCGGCGATGGCGGTGATGGCGGCGGCGGCGACCAGCCTAGGTAAGAACGAGTTAACACGTGTGCTATCAGTGCTTAATTCCATCTCTCTTGTTGTGATTTGTGCATTTTCGCTGCTAGCTCGGATGCTCACGGCGGGCATCACCACCATGGCCACGGACATGGCGGAGACAATGGCGGCGGACACCACCACCATGGCCACGGGCATGGCGGGGACCACGGCGGCGGCGGGCACCACCATCACCACGGGCATGGCGGAGACCATGGTGGAGGAGGCTGGCACCACCATGGCGGAGACCATGGCGGCGGCGGCGGGCACCACTACTCCGGTGACCATGGGGCAAGCAGCGGATTCAGCGGTGGCGGCTGCGGCGGCGGCGGCGGCGGCGGGGGTGGTGGTGGTGGGTTCTGACGTCACGGGAGTTAACTCGGCCACTGTACGTGTTGCTTGCTACTAATATGTTGCCATTATGTACATTATAATATGAGATAGATTGTGAAAAAATCAGAGCTCCTTGAGGTTGTCCAGTTGAGTATTACTTCTTGTCTCAGTTGTATTTATGTATATATGATCAGTTTAATTATTGGATGCATTTTTTACTGTTAGGCCGTGTTTAGTTTACCCTCAATTTTCAACTTTCCATCATATCACATCCAAAATTTTCCTACACACATAAACTTTTAACTTTTTCTCCAAACTTTTAATTTTTTTTCATGAACTAAACACAGCCTTAATTAAAAAAGATATTTTTGTCTGCAACGTTTGACTACTCATTTTATTCAAAAATTTTTAAAATTATTATTTATTTTTTTGTGACTTACTTTATTATCTATAATACTTTAAACACAACTTTTCGTCTTTTATATTTGTAAAAAAAATTTGAATAAGACGAGTGGTCAAATTTTGCAATCAAAAACTTAAAATCTGTCACGCCCCGAACTAGTACCGACCGGAACTAGCCCGTGACGCTCTAAATTAACCTGTTAATCGATACCAGTCCCAGGAAATAGTGCTGGTATCACAGGAAGACAGAATATCACAGCAACAGAGGTCTCTTTATTATAGAGTAGAGGTACAGTCATGTTGGGCTGCGGACAGATCCCGAGCTCACAACTGCATTACAAAAGGGAAACGGAAGCCAGGACTTGGACCAATCAACACAGGCGTGACTTAGGAACTAGGCCGAAACCCTAAAACTCATCGTAGCCGGCTTGCTCCTGGAAGAACTCCTCATCAACAGAATCCGCTTCATCTTCTTCAGCAACTGAGGGGGGGATATTTATATAGAGCAAGGGTGAGTACGGGAGTACTCAGCAAGCCATGGGAAATAAGTGTTTAATGCAGGCTTCGAAGAAAGGCTGTTGTTTTTGCAATTGATTTTATTTGAACTCTTTTCTAAAAACAACTAGGTGAGTGCTTCTCAAACGACACGGTTGAGACAGTGCGTCTCGTCCGGTCGGAGTTTGTGCAATGTATCAGTCTTTAGAATTGAATCAAGGTTGGCACCCGGCCAACAGCTTTTCAAACGGCCACCCGGGCCAACAACTTTCAAACGGCCACCCGGGCCTAGCTGATCCCATCAGCTGCAGATTTTTCAAACATCGAACCCCTATCCACAACAGCAATTTCACAAGCAGTAGTCAAACAAAACTACGCTAGGAATCACCTCACATCCGCCCATGACCGTGGGCACGGCTGTTCGAACAGTTTGTTAACCTCTGCAGAGGGGGTACACTTTACCCACACGACATTACTAACCCGGATCACCCAGCCCGTGGGGATCAGCCACGTCGGGAGACCTCCAAGCTTTCATGACAAGGCATTTCCAAAGCCGACACAGGTTTACCATATGCCGACGAGAGGGGTCCCAGACCAACAACAGGTTAGGTCCCAGACCATACTGTGCCAGGAAGCCCAGGGGTCCTCCCCGACACCACCCCGGCGAATCCACATGTCTCTCGGCATCAAGGCTCCCCTGATAAGCTAGTTACTCAGCCAGGGGTGTCCCATTCCACCCATGTGGTCGTACTTGTCTTATGTTTGGATGAAATTCCAAGGAAATCGGTCCTTAAGTGCGAGAGCGGGAAACCGTACACCCGGTACGTTCCCCGGCCCGCGGTTTTGGAAATTCATTTAGTTCGCAAGCACCGACCCAGGTGTCGGGTTTTCCAAATCTTTTGTAAAACCCAAGTTTTACCCAAGTTGTTATTCAGATTTTTAAGTTTGAAGGCGTCCGTCGATACTCGCACAGGGTGCACGAATATCGAGACGCAACTAGATGGTTACAAGGGGACAAGGTATAACAATTAACAAAGGAAGGATCAAATGCAACAAACTAGGTGGGTCCGCCAATCTGCCTTGCAGACGGGACGACAGAAAAAGTGCGATCCTATCAATGCATAATATTTTTCAAGCAACATAATTAAATTTCAAATATAGGCTCAAGATGTTCAAAGGTGGCTTGCCTTGCTCGAGATCTGGAGCTTGATCCTCGCAATCCTCGCACTGCGGGTCTTCGGGCTCCGAGACTACACGCGAAACGGGACAACTCAACAAACGGCGAAAATAAAGCCCTATTAATGACCTCTAAGCGTGCCATTAGATAGATCTCGAGATTTGAGGAATTTTGGAAGTTGAACGGAGTCGAACGGATTTACGGTTGGGAAGATATTGAATTTCTAAGATTATTGGATTTTTGGTCTAAAGGAAAAGGATTTAATTAAATCCTTTTTGAAAAAGAAAAGAAAAGAAAGAAAAGAGGGATGGAAATTAGACTTTTCCTCGGGCGGCTAGGGCGCGGCCCGAGAGAGATGGGGCGGTCCGGCCGAGCTAAATGGGCCGGCCGGCCCAAGATGGCCCAAGCGCGCGCGCGGGAGGGGAGGAGAGAGAGGGCCGGTGGACCGGGCTCACCACGCGCAGTCCCGGGTGGGACCCGCTTGTCAGCGGCTCGGCTCACCGTGCGGAGGGAGCACGCGGCGCGGCGCTAGGGTGGGGGAGGGACGCGGTGCACGCGCGCGGTTCGCGGTGGACGCGGATGCGGCGGGCCCACGCGCAGCCTCACGGCTCGCGGTGGAACGCGCGCACGGGAAGGGACTGACCGGGGTCGACTCGACCCGGCCTTGGCTGTGCTGGCGCCGACGTGGCGCCTACGTGGCTGCCACGCGGGCCGGCGGGAGGTAGACGACGACGCCGGCCGGAACGGACGGCGGTCGACAGCGGCGAGCGACGGAGCAACCCACGGCGATACAGGCAAAAGCGAGCACACCGGGTGGTTGCACGTGACGAGGGGAGACGAGCCAACGGCTCGGATTCGCCGGAGGGAGCTTGACGGCGGCGAATCGCGGCGGCGGCAACTGGCGGGGAGGGAAGAGGGAAACGGCGACGAGGTCACGAGGGGTCGATTCCCGGCGGTGAGAGCATCCACGCGGCCATGGGAATCCGATGCTAGCGTCGGATTGGGCGGAGCTACGCCGAGCGAGGCTGGCGACGAGCGGGTGCTACGGAGCTCGAGCGGCGACGGCGGCGAGCACACGGCGAGCGACGGCAACGGTCGGGGCGGCGCCGGCTAGCTACGGGGAGGCTACTCATGCTACCACCGAAAACTAAGGGGGGAAGATGGAGCGAGGAGGGAGAACGGAGAGAGGCACTACCGAGATGAGGAGGGGCGCAGTGACGAGAGGCCGACGGCGCGGGAGTGATCTCTCCGGCCTCGGGCCGAGGAAGAGGAAGAAGAGGGTGCGCCCAGAGTCCCCTTCCGCGTCCTTGCTCGTGCCGGCTCTTCCGACACGCGCAACGACGAACGGCGACGGCGAACAGAGCACGGGAGGCGGCGGCAATGGCGCGGAGGCGAATGGGAGAGGAAAGGAAAAAGGGAGGGAGCTCGGGTTTATAGGGGGCGGCAATGTCGGTTTGGAAACCGACTTTGGCGGTCAAGGCGCGAGCTGGCGCTCCGGCTAGCGGCCAAAACGGCGACAGGAGGGAGGGAGGATGACGCCGGCGGGAGGAAAAGGGGGAAAAGGAGGGGGAGAAAGGGGCTTGTCCCCTTGCCTCTTCGGGAAAAGGAGGAGGGAGCGGGGCGTCGCGGCAGAGGGAGGAGGGAGGCTCTGCCTCCGTCCCTTGGCGGCTTGCGCGGGAGTGACGGGGCCGAGGCGATGACGACGGCGATGACGGCGGGGCGGTTTGGAGCGGCGCGACGACACGGGCGACAGGTGCGTGCATGGGCTGACGGCGGAGGCGACCGGGCGGTCGGCCACCACGGCACGCGCGCGCGGGTCGCAACGGGAGGCGCGGCGGATGGAGTGGCGTGGCTCGGGCACGCGCACTGGCTGCGGGGCCGAGCGGCTACGCGGCAGCAAGCGCGGCAGGGCAGCGGGGCCGGGCGGCGCAGACGCGACGCGGGTGAGGACCACGCGGGCGCGCGCGCGAACGACGCGCGGGGAGCAGCAGCGAGGGCTCGACTCGGCGCGGGCGGGGAACCACGTGGGCGCGCGCGCGAACAACGGCGCGCGGGAGCCGGCTTCGCGGGCGGGGAGCTTGCCAGGGATGGGGAGAAGGAGAGCGAGGGGAAAGGGGGCGCTCGGCGCGAGCGGCTCACGCGCACGCGCGCGGCGCGCGGGCGGCGCGGAGCGGAGGGGGAGCGAGAGAGAGAGAGAGAGAGAGAGAGCCGGGGAGGGAGGGAGAGATGGGCCGAGCGAGATTCGGCCCATCGACCCTGGGGGAGGCAAACTAGACTTTTGCGGAGGAATTTGATTTGGAAGGATTTGGATTCGGAATTGAACTCGACGATAGATCGGGGATTTGAGATCTTGAGACGGCACGGACACTAGACGACAAGCGAAGAAACAAATTTCGCAATTAGGATTTTTAGGAGATAATTTTTCCGCTAGGCGCCACGACGGAACGGGCGCTACAAAATCCCTTATGGGACGGAGGGAGTACGTGGACAATGTAAGAACAGAGTTGCAAATTATTTATTGGGTAAAGGTACTTTGTCAGGTTAATTTTCAAAAGTGACCGAGACAAGGTCAATGTTAAACAGCAACGTTGTCAATCATGGATTGGCGTACAAGCAAGTGGTGAGAATCAAGCGGCGATATGATCGAGCATTTTAATTTGCACCGTGTTTACTTCAAAGTTTTTTTCTAAACTACCAACTTTTCCATCACATCATTTCAATTTCAACCAAACTTTCAATTTTTTATGTGAACTAATTAAGGGTGTGTTTAGATGGTGGAGAAGTTATGAAGCTGTGAGAAAGTTAGTAGTTTAGAGAAAAAGTTGATAGTTTATATGTGTAGGAAAGTTTTCGATGTGATGTGACGTAACAGAAGGTTAGGATTTTGGGTGGAACTAAACATGGCCTAAACACAGCCGGCTGGGCGGCTGGGCCTAACCGCCTAACGACTCCGTCCTGGCGAATCATCAGCGGATGGGTGTGCGTGGCTCCGTGCTTTTGGCCGTAATGATCCAGACGTCTCGCCGCCGGCGATGGCCGGTTAATTAACACTGTGGTCAAGCCAATTTCTATGAACACAGTGTATAATTAATAGTATATATTTAACAAATTAAGTGCATATCATGTTTTGGATGTACTTTGTCCCGATCGGCCAACGAAGCATAATTTCACTAGATATCGAGCTACTCCCCCGTTTCACAATATATATCTAATTTCATTAATATTAATATAAATATGAGAAATACTATAATAAGTTACACTGTGAAATGGAGGAAGTATTCCCTCCGTATTTTAATGTATGACGCCGTTGACTTTTTAATCAACGTTTGATAACGCGTCTTATTCAAAATTTTTATGCAAATATAAAAATACTTATGTCATGCTTAAAGAACATTTGATGATAAATCAAATCACAATAAAATAAATTATAATTACATAATTTTTTTAAATAAGACGGAAAGTCAAACGTTTATCAAAAAGTCAACGGCGTCATATATTAAAATACTAGGGAGGCCCTCTCAATGAGAGGTAATACCCTACTCCTGTTTGGGGATTTGAATCCGCCGTGTGTGTATTGATCTGACGATCAGGTTGTCTCATCTGCCCCCTAGAGGGCCTCCTGCCCACCTTATATAGGATGGGGGGCAGGATTACAAGATAGAAACCTTAACCAATACGGTATCGGTTTCCTAAATCTGGACTTTAGGCTGTTCCGTAATATACAAGGAAACGTAACACCCAAGCCATGATCTGTTACATATTACATAGATATAAGTTATCCCCTATAACTAGTCGGATAACCATGCCGTGTGGGTATGGGGTACCCATAATCTCCACAGTAGCCCCTGAGACCTTCACAGTCGGAAAGATAACCTTCTCTCGAACTAGATTACTCCAAGGCCGAGTGCTTCAATCATCTTCGTCATGGTCTCCCGAGTACTTTTACCAAATCTGAAGACTGTGGAGGGCTGGAAAATAAAGTCAGGTGCACCGACTAGATGCACCTAATAGGTGTAGCCCCCGACAATGTGGTTAATTGAACAAACCAAGCATATAGTCAAGGAATAAATAATCCAACCAACCGAGTGGTTTTGATAATCGTAATCAACCAAGTGACTTGATATCAATATATAGCATATGCGGTGTGAATCCTCCAAATAACATGATCCGAGTGATATACCAACTGCTTTGTAAAATATGATGAGTGATATAGCAAAATAGCTATAAAGAAGCTTGTATATTGTGAATAAAGAAATTTCCAAAGTATTGGGCATACGCCATGCGCACACTGCTTTAACAGATGTGCTTTAGTCCCTAGAAGACACATGGTTTCACCACACCTGGAAATATATGGCATATGTGGTGTAAAATCCGAGTAAATAAACTCATAAAGGATTTACCAACCGCCTAGAAAATGACCACAATATATAATCAGCCTAAGCCATAATATTGGTCAATAAAAATGCACACTTACGTGGCGAAAAGCAATGATATTGTATCCAATCAATTGCTTAAAAACCCAAACAGCACCTTGACTTATATATAAAAAAGTCAGCGGGACAGCTATATAAAGCTTTACTGTTTGACACCTTTTAAGATGCATTGTACCAACTCCTAAAAAGTTAAGTAACTGCGGTATAAAAGGATTTTAAGGTATTGGGCACTTGATCACGCGCACTTTGGCCTAAGCAAAAAGTGCCTAAGTCCCTAAAAGAACGTGACAGGCCACACCTGAAAATATGGGCTGCAGACATATTAGGCCTAGGCCAAAAAATATGCCTTCGACACCCTTTAAAGGATGACGCATGTAACATGCTCCCGAGTAATAAATCTTCCGGGTAATATAGACCAAGCGTAGCTCATATGAATAGCTTCTGATCTGAGTGGTTATCCCTTATGGGATACTCCAAAATAGATGTAACAATTGAATCCCGACTGGCGCAAGTATTCAGTTGATAACCCTTACGGGGAATAATAAATAGTCCAGTCTTTGAGCATATAAAATAGACCCATGATCATGAATTCATGTTGCATGTATCCGGAGCAAGTCCAAATTGAAGATATAATACTTGTATTTGAGCTAGTAAGCCCCTGAGCACGTAGTCACAATTGTTCATTGATGGTAGCTGACGCAGTTGGCATAGAGACAAGACAACCAATATAGAGAGAACATTGCCCACCAGAGGTGGCAAAAATATTGGTGGTAGTGAAGATAGTGATACCAATCAAAAGTACTGAAGTCGCATAGCCATGGAGGCGAAGAAACCAGTCGGCGGCAGTCAGGTCAGCCAGCAATGAATATGAAGGCGCTCAGCGATAAAGTTGTGTAGTTGACGACAACAAACGCAACCGACATGATGAAGATGACGATGTCGGTGATCCAGCCAATAGCAGTGTAGCAACCAATGATAATGACAAAGACGCTCATCAGCATTTGCATAGTAGGTCAACCGTGAAGGTGAAATAATAAGTCAGCGAAAACATAATCATCCATTAGCAACAGCAGAGATGTCAGGGTCGATGAAGCAGAGGTGCTGGTGATGATGTCAGTGACAATAATCCATCAAATTAATGTTATAGCTGTTGTAGATGCTTCACTTGGAGGAGAGTTGATGTTGTTGCCCAACTCGTCTAAACCGAAATATTTGAAGTTGTTGAAGTAGAATGTCTGTTCCGAAGCAAAGATGAAGATAATGACTCCTGGAGTTGACTCATTGGCTTATATAAAATTTGTCAAATTTTGAGCCTTATATTTGTGTAGCCCCCGACTCTTTGGTTAGTTGGGAAACAACTGAACATAGAGTCGAGAATTATAGCTTCTTGTCGTCGAGTAGTCATTGCTTGATTGAAGATATGTGTTGAAGATGTCCAAGTAGAAATCCTGAATATTGGAGAGCCACTTGTTGTAGTAAAATAACACGGCATCGCATGCCGAGATGTCGAGATTCACAACAACGTCATGGTTGGTGATGTAGCAAAACTTGTGAAGTAGCAGCAATAGAGTTTGCTGGTTCCGAAGATAATAAAGATGAAGTCGCTCCACCATGATGACAAAGTTGTGTTGCCGTGATGAAGTGAACCGGTAGTGAAGACGCAGTTGTGAAGATAAAAGCACCGGTCGGCGGCGGCATAACACGAGTCGGCGGCGGAAGACGATGATGTCCATCAGTAGTGGTAGCTGTATAAACCAGATGTAGAGGCGAGGGCACTAGTCAGCAGCAGACGAGATGACCGGCGATGAAGATGGTAAGGCCAATCAACACTGGCAGAATCATGCAGCCATGGAAGTGAAGAAACCAGTCGGCAGCCATGGCAAACGTAGGCAGCTTGTGTTGAAGATACTGATGCCTATTAGTAGTGACAGCGATGTAGCCAGCCGTGAAGAAGATAGCATCAGTTGGCGTTATAACAGGCCAGCCGTGCAGGCGGTGACACCAGTCAGCGGCGGATGCGGCGGCCGGTCGGTGAAGACGTAGACGCCCAACAACGGCGGCATAAAGGCCAGCCGTGCAGGCGGAAACACCAGTCGGCGGCGGCGAAGGCAAGCCGGTCGGTGAAGACGTAGACGCCCAACAACGGCGGCATAAAGGCCAGCCGTGCAGGCGAGGACATCGGTCGGCGGCGACAAAGGCAAGCCGGTCGGTGAAGACGTAGACGCCCAACAACGGCGGCATAAAGGCCAGCCGTGCAGGCGAGGACATCGGTCGGCGGCGACGAAGGCAAGCCGGTCGGTGAAGACGTAGACGTCCAACAACGGCGGCATAAAGGCCAGCCGTGCAGGCGAGGACATCGGTCGGCGGCGACGAAGGCAAGCCGGTCGGTGAAGACGTAGGCGCCCAACAACGGCGGCATAATAGGCCAGCCGTGCAGGCGGAAGCACCAGTCGGCGGCGGACGAGGCGGCCGGTCGGTGAAGACGTAGACGCCCAACAACGGCGGCATAAAGGCCAGCCGTGCAGGCGGAAGCACCAGTCGGCGGCGGACGAGGCGGCCGGTCGGTGAAGACGTAGACGCCCAACAACGGCGGCATAAAGGCCAGCCGTGCAGGCGAGGACACCAGTCGGCGGCGACGAAGGCAAGCCGGTCGGTGAAGACGTAGGCGCCCAACAACGGCGGCATAATAGGCCAGCCGTGCAGGCGAGGATACCAGTCGGCGGCGACGAAGGCAAGCCGGTCGGTGAAGACGTAGACGCCTAACAACGGCGGCATAATAGGCCAGCCGTGCAGGCGGAAGCACCAGTCGGCGGCGGACGAGGCGGCCGGTCGGTGAAGACGTAGACGCCCAACAACGGCGGCATAAAGGCCAGCCGTGCAGGCGGAACCACCAGTCGGCGGCGGCGAAGGCAAGCCGGTCGGTGAAGACGTAGACGCCCAACAACGGCGGCATAAAGGCGAGCTGTGCAGGCGGAAGCACCAATCGGCAGCGGCGAAGGCAAGCCGGTCGGTGAAGACGTAGACGCCCAACAACGGCGGCATAAAGGCCAGCCGTGCAGGCGGAAACACCAGTCGGCGGCGGCAAAGGCGAGCCGGTCGGTGAAGACGTAGGCGCCCAACAGCGGCGGCATAATAGGCCAGCCGTGCAGGCGGAAACACCAGTCGGCGGCGGCGAAGGCAAGCCGGTCGGTGAAGACGTAGACGCCCAACAACGGCGGCATAATAGGCCAGCCGTGCAGGCGGAAACACCAGTCAGCGGCGGTCGAGGCGAGCCGGTGGTGATGTTCTGACTGATCCATTCCTGGAGCGTAAGAGGTAAGCTTAAAGCCATGAATCCCTTTTATGCATATCTGGATCTGGATCCTGCAGAACAAACATATAGGATGAGTAGTATCTGATATAAATATAATACTCGAGAAAAAATCAAGTATTTTAAAATATTTATAAATATGTATTTCTCCTCTTGTCAATTTTGATTTCCCCGAGCAGATGATTCATTACGTTTAAACGCTCTGTCCGACTAGTCATAGCCCCCAAGCACCGGGAGTCGGCCTAGGCACTTCCCAGACATGCATATGAGTGACATGAGTTCGCCATTAATGGAACAAAGTTTCACGAATCAGAATTTACTACTCGGGTACTTTTGCAATTATTAAGAGCAGAAAATGAATTTATCTTATCTCTA